GCCACCCAGGCGCCCTATTTTTATTTTTTTAAAAGATTTTATTTGACAGAGAGAGAGAGAGCAAGTGCACACACAAGCAGGGGGAGCGGCAGGCAGAGGGAGAGGGAGAAGCAGGCTCCCCACTGAGCAGGGTTCCTGATGTGGGGCTCAATCCCAGGACCCTGGGATCATGACCTGAGCCGAAGGCAGACACTTAACCAACTGAGCCACCAGGCACCCTTGAGATTATTTTTTAAAAGATATACTTAGAGGCACCTGGGTGGCACAGTTGATTAAACATCTAACTCCTACTTTCAGCTCAGTCCGTGATCTCAGGGTCGTGGGATCAAGCCCCATGTCGGGCCCCACGATCAGCACAGTCTGCTTGAGTTTCTCTGTCTCCCCCTGCCCCACCCCTGCTATCTCAAATAAATAAAAAAGATATACTTAGACAAAATCAACAGATTAGACTCTACAGAAGAAAATATTAATCTCAGAGATAGAGCAAGAGAACTTTCCAAAGTGAGACACATACACACACACAAAGCTGAAAAAGAGATTGAGTAAGCTGTGGGACAACTTCAAGTGACAATATGCATTAATAGACTACAAAGTGGGGAGGAGAAAGAAAACGTGAAGAAATAATAATTGGAAATTTTCAAAATTTAACAAAAACTCAAAACATCCAGACCCAAGAAGCTCAAGGAACCACAAACACTGAAACATAAATAAAACAATACCAAGACCTATCAAATTAATTAAAACCAATGAAGGGAGTAAATCTTAAAAGTGGTCACAAGAAGGGGTGACTGGCTGGCTCAGTCAGAAGAGCATGTGACTCTTTTTTTTCCTTTTTTTTATTTAGGAAGGTAGTGGGGGAGAGGATGGACAGAGGTAGAGGGAGAAACAGAGAATCTTTTTTTTAAAGATTTTATTTATTTGACAGAGAGAGACACAGCGAGAGAGGAACACAAGCAGGGGGAGTCGGAGAGCCACCCAGGCACCCAGAAACAGAGAATCTTAAGCAGGCTCCATACCCAGCATGGAGCCCGATGCAGGGCTCAATCTCACAACCCTGAGATCATGACCTGAGCCAAAGTCAAGAGTCAGACACCTAACCAACTGAGCCACCCAGGTACCCCTAGAGCATGTGACTCTTGATCTTGGGGTCATGAGTTTGAGCCCTACATTGGGTGGAGAGACTACTTAAAAATAAATAAACTTAGGGGTGCTTGGGTGGCTCAGTTGGTTAATCATTTGCCTTCAGCTCTGGTCATGATCCCAGGATCCTGGGACCCAGTTCCTCATCAGGCTTCCTGTTCAGCGGGGAGTCTGCTTCTCCCGCTCCCTCTGCCACGCCCCCTGCTTGTGTGTGCACTGTCAAATGAATACATAAAATCTTTTAAAAATAAACAAACTTAGGGGAAAAAAGTCATCACAAGAAAAAGACCACATTCTGTGTAGAGGAACAATAAGAATGATAGCAAATCCATTTGCAATGACATGGATGGAGTTAAATATGCTAAGAAAAAGAAGTCAAAGACAAATACTGGGCACCTGGGTGGCTCAGATGGTTAAGTGCCTTCGGCTCAGGTCATGATCCCAGGGTCCTGGGATCAAGTCTCACATCAGGGTCCCTGCTCCTTGGGAGCCTGCTTCTCTCTCTAAGAATAAATAATCTTTAAAAAAAAAAAAAAAGACAAATACCGTATGATTCCACTCATCTGTAGAATTTAAGAAACAAAACAGATGAACATATGGGTAGGTGGAAAAAGAGAGGGAAGCAAGCCATAAGAGACTTTAACGATAGAGAACTGAGGGTTGATGGAGGGAGGTGGGTGGGGGATGGGCTAGATGGAGGATGGGCATTAAGGAGGGCACTTCTTATGATGAGCACTGGGTGATGTATGTAAGTGATGAATCACTGAATTCTACTCCTGGAAACCAGTATTGGTATGTCAACTAACTAGAATTTAAATAAAAATTTGAAGGAAAAAAAGGATAGCAGATCTCTTCTTGGAAAACAAAGTAAACCAGTGGAGCCACACCTTTAAAGTACTGAAAGAAGTGCCTGGGTGGCTCAATCAGTTAAGCTCCAACTCTTGGTTTTGGCTCAGGTCATGATCTCACAGGTCAGGCTCCCCATTCAGCGGGGAGTCTGCTTCTCTCTCCCACCCTCTGCCCCTCCCCCGCTCATGCCCTCTCTCTCTAATAAATTTTAAAAATCAAAAAATAAAAGTACTGAAAGGGGGGGAAAAAGTCAATGTAGAAGTCCATATGCAGCAAAATATCTTTGAAATATTAAGTTGAAATAAATACTTCAGCCTGAAAAAGGTGAAAGAATCCATTACCAACAGACCTGAACTGTAAGAAACGTTAAAGGATGTCTTTAGGCAGAAGGAAAATAGAACCAAGGAGAAATCTGGATCTACACAAAGAAATGAAGAACACCTTAAATTGTAAATATATGGGTAAATATATGAGACTTTTTCCTTCTTCAAAATCTCTTTAAAGCCACTCAAACAAAAATAGTTAACACTGTACTGTGGGGATTTTAACAAATATTAAATAAAATGTATGACAAAAACAGCACAGTCTGGGACGCCTGGGTGCCTCAGTCGGTTAAGCATCTGCCTTTGGCTCAGGGTATGACCTCAGGGTCCTGGGATCGAGTCCCGCATCAGGTTCTTCCTCGGTGGGAACCTGCCTCTCCCTCTGCCTACCCTGCCTGCCACTTCCCCTGCTTGTGCTCGCTCTGACAAATAAAATCTTTTTTAAAAAAAATAGCACAAACTGTGAGTAGGAAAAATATTATTCCTGTAAAGTTCTCACACTATAAATGAAGTGGTATATTACTTAAGACTAGAATACGATGAAAATTCATACACAATAGGGGATGCCTGGGTGGCTTAGTCGGTTAAGCATCTGCCTTTGGCTCAGGTTATGGTCTCCAGGTCCTGGGATCGAGTCCCCAAGTCAGTCTCCCTGCTCAGTGGGGAGTCTGCTTCTGCCTCTCCCTCTGCCACTCCCCAGCCCCCCAAACTCATGCTCGCTCTTGCTCACTCTCTCTCAAATAAAAAAAATAACAAAATTTACATACAATAAACCCTAAAAACACTTAAAATTTAAAACAAAGTATTATAGCCAAGAAGCCAACAAAGAAGAGGAAATGGAATAATAAACAAGTATTCAAAAGAAGGCAGATAAAAAGGGAGACAAAACTCAAGATGGTAGATTTAAACACAACGACATCAATATTCACATTCAATGCAACTGGTCTTAACACTCCCAACTAAGGCATAGGTTGGCAGACTGGATTAAAAAAAGGCAAAACCAAAATGTATGCTGTCCACAAGATGGACACTTTAAATATAAAAAATACCAACAAGTCTCAAGTAAAAGAAGATAATACTATGTTAGTACCTGGGTTTTTTTAAGTTTTTAAGTGGATTGCTAGTAATAAACATAAGCTTTTAAAGCAAAGATTATTATCAGGAATTAAATGGGCAATTAAATAATGATATGAATGAATGTCAATTCAACATGAGGACATAACAATCCTAAACATTAATGAACTATAAACAGAGTTTCAAAATAAAGCAAAACCAGTCAGAACTAAAATGAAAAATAGACAAAATCCACAATCTCCTTGGGGATTTCAAGACCCCAACATTAAATGATAGCAACGACAGACAGAAAATCAGTAAGGATATAGAACTTGAACACCACCATCAGCCAACATCACCTAATTGGCATTACAGATTATTTCACTCAAGAGAGCCAGAAGATACATTCTTTTCAGGTGAATATGGAACACTTATGAAGATGTATCATGAACCATAAAGCAACTCTTAGAAAATTTTTTAAAAGGAATCAAATCATACAAACTATTTACTAACGAAAATGGAATTAGAAGTCAGCAACAAAGATCTTTGGACACTAAATATTTGCCCAAATATTTGGACACTAAATAACACACACTGAAAATAACCCATGGATCAAAGCCAATGCCAAATGGAGAATTATGAAGTTTTGAACTGAATGAAAACAAAGACACATTATCAAAATTTGTTGGAACGAAGCTAAAGCAGTGCTTGGAAGGAAATTCATAGCATTAAAATACCGGTATCAGAAAAGAATTGCCTCAAATCAGTGACTCCAGCTCACACTTTAATATAGAAAAAGAGCAAACTACACCTGAAATAAGTAGAATAATAAAGAGCAGAAACTGGTGAAATAAAAAGCAGAAAAACAACAGAGGAAATGATGATGGAAACAAAATCTGATTTGTTTCCTTTTAAATCAATAAAACTGATCTAAAAAAAGACATGTTAGGGCACCAGCGTGGCTCAGTCAAACATCTGCCTTCGGCTCAGGTCATGGTCCCAGGGTCCTGGGATCAAGCCCCGCATCGGGCTCCCTGCTCGGCGGGGAGTCTGCTTCTCCCTTTCACTCTCCCTCTGTGCTCTCATGCTAACAAATAAAATCTTTTTAAAAAATAAAATATAAAAAATTTTTAAAAAGATATGTTAACATTAGGATTGAGAGAGAATATCACTACGTATCTTACTTTATTAAAATACAAGGGGAAAAAAAATACAAGGGAATTTCCAACTTATGCCAATAGATTTGACAACAAATTCCTTTGAAGATGCACAACCCCAAAGCTTACTCAAGAATAAATAACATGAATAACCCTTAATCTACTTTTAATATTGGTTTGTAATGTAAGAAGGAAATTCCAGACTCAGGTTGGCTTTATTATCAAATTCTACCTAACACTAATGGAAGAAATAATGACAATATGATACCCAGTCCTTCAGAAAACTGAGCAGGAGGGAGTTAACACTTACCCAAAGAACCTGTGAGGCCAGCATGACCTTTATAAACTCAAACCAGAAAGACATGACAAAACCCTGGAAGAGCTTATCACCACCTTTCAGTTATTTTTAAAAAGCCGTAAATATGTCAATGTCTCAGAAATAGGTGAAATTACTACTCAACAGTGGCAAGATTTGAAGATTTTCATTTTATTAAAAATATAGCAACACAATAGCAGCATCATTTGATAAATCTTTACTAGTACCACTTAGAAGTAGTCCTACTCACATAAATATACACCACCTAATGCAGCATCTTTATGTTTACATTTTAAACTCTTCCCTTAATAATCATAGCATTATGTAAAGAACACTATTGTTAAGATTCAGGAGAGTAATATTTAACTGTTAAACGAACTACCTACACAACTACACAATACACCCAAATGTCATCTTCTGTGGAAATGGGGGAGTTCTGTAGATTGTTCCCCAAGAGTCTGCTGCCTGCCACACAACCTCAGGTGGGTAGAACTCCATAGCCTCAACTCTAATTCCTTCAGTATGATTTTCATAAATTTGAACTTGTACATAGAGTCAAGAAATTATCTATCTAGCAAATAAAAGTTAATCAGGAGTGAAGAAAACTGTATTATTCCATTCCAATCCCAGGAAAATAAATCTTAGCAGTAAAATATGTGAAGTTTCCCAAAAGTTGGCAACTTTCAAAATTAAAATGTTAGCTAGATACAAAGTAAATTTAAAAATTAGGCAACAAACTAAAACCCTGCTTTTAAAAACAATATATTAAGTATTATATTAAATATAAAGTAAGTTATAATAAATTAGTTGCTAGGAACTATAAAAATACCTTAAAATAGAATGGAAAGAAATCTAGTTATTACTACCAACCTCAATAGGGACCAAAAATCATTAATAGCTCCAGCTTTTATTTTTAAAATAATGTATCAATCTTCAGGCAGAATCACCAATAGGACATTTAAGAAAAACAAATTCATCCACAAACCCAAAACTAAGTAGGGAAGTCAATCTGATTTTAAAAGACTTTATTATATCATACTGGACTACCGCTTCCAGAAATGTAATTTAGCCCTTTTAAGAGCACTAACTTTTGAAATTTGAAAAACAATTTTAAATGACTATTACACTAAATAAACGTAAGAATACTATGTAAGTGTGAAAATAAAAAAATATCTAAACACATAAAGAACATACTTTGTGGAAATGGCTCTACTTCATAATCCGCCCAGTTAAAACCAGATATTATCTTTTAGTGAAAATATAATCACTCACTGAAATGTTAAGTTATTCAATGCATCCCTCCAAAAGGACTCATTTTAATAGCTAATTCAACTTCTAAAAAAAAGACATTTAAATCAAATCATATTATTTCTAATGGATTTTTTTAAATGTTTAAAAGCCTGTTACTACATATTATAATTCTTAAAATTAATTATCTTCAGAGCTGATTTGGATTAAGGGTTTAAGTTTTAAGGTAAAGACAGCAACATATATATAGGAATGAATGAGGTCCTGGAAATAACTAAAATCACAAATGAAGTTATTTTCTTCACAAAAAAAGGATTCTAAATGAGTTATTTTTGAGCATTTCAAAATTTAAGTCTCTGACATTTCTGAAGATCAACATACCATATATAGACTAACCTCTTGAATATAAGAATTCTGAACAAAATCACAAGCTGATTAGTGTTTGCAATTATAAATTAATTAGATTAGATGGAGAATAATGAGACAATTGCAGAAGTTAAGGATTTATACTTGTTTTCACATACAAAACTAGCCAGCTTATTATGAAGGCCCACCTTAATATAAATAATTCATTACGCATTGCTGCAAAGAAAGAACAAGAGGATCAACAGAATTTGTCTAAAATGAGGAAGAGCAACACAAGGAACAGAGTGTACTCTCTGTATAATCAAGCTAAAAAATTATAAAGGGATCACATATAAAATGGCTATCTTCTTTGTCTTACCTCAAGTTTTCCTGACAACATCTACCTGGGTTGAAAAAGAATAGCCTTAAAGAAAAAAACAAAACGCCTTAAAAGAAAATAACATGGAAACCTACCAGGCTCCTATAAGTGAACAAAGAAAAAATATGTCTTTCTCTCTCGATCTGTCTCTCTCAATCTCTCTCTCTCTCTCTCTCTCACACACACACACACACACACACACACATGCATACTCACACTCACTCCAATACCTCCAGGCCCTAAAAAGCTTTGCTTCCATAAGCCCATTTAAGAACATTTTTTTACTTCATCTGGATCTCTTGTATTCCTATTCATGTCCAACTTTCACATATCAGAGTCTTTCAAAAGAAGTATCATTATTTTAAAGCTGAATATCACCAACAGGAAAAAATAATTAGCAGCAAGAACCAAATTAAGTGTGTTAACTGCCAACACAGAAAACATTAAGAGTCCAGAGTACAAGAAATAATTCAAACTTTAAATGATTGTTTTATAGACACCACACATTCATTCTCCATGTCGAAACAATCTCTATGCCAACTAAAACAAGATAAACATAAACTAAGATGCTGTTTTGAAATCCATAAACAAATACTTTCCTCTAAAATACTTAGCTTTATTAGAGAAATGGTACTAAAAATAACAAAGATTCAAACATTTGCTCTATTCTACTTACATATTATAAATAAGACAACTGTTGATGCAAGACACACACTCCTTCACAATCTTTCCATATGCACTCAAGCATTCTTGTATCAGAATAAGCTGTTTACCAGCCAACCGTATGTGGTTGAATGATTAAAATGACCATCTATACTTTACATAGTAAAGCATTTTCAAAAATTTTAATGTACACAGTGACAAAAAGGAAAAAAAAACACAGTAATTCTGAACACATGAAAGAGTAATTAAGCAGCTTCGTAGTCAAACCAGGCTTCATTGCAATAAGGGCAATTCTTTCCATTCTCTACCAAATACTTAAAGTTTCAATAGTATTAACATTAAAAGAAAACTCAAGTTGAAACCAAGTAACTGATGAGCTACTCAGCTATTTAAATCTATAAGTAATTCTTCCCATGAGGTAAGGCAACGGAGTAATCTGATTGTATTAGACTGCATTAAAATAATTATACTTGATTTTTTTAATAACATGCTAATTAAAAGGTATAACTTTGGGGGGAACAAAACAATAATGAAAAGATTTCTGAAACTATGAGTTATGGCTTTGGGGGAAAATATTAGCAATGTTGTCATTTTACTACTTGTTACTTCCTGCAGAAAGTGAGCCTAAGCGTAATGGATGACCTGTATTTTAAACTCAAGTAAACATATCCTTAAAACAAATAACCTCATGTGTTCTCCTTTACATAGAATTTCTGCACATCATTTATGAGAAGATAATTAAGAGGTAATAATTAAGGCCATCCAATGGAGACAACGAAAGTGTTCACTTTGATTTAAGTCAAGTAAGAACATGCTTCATTTTCAATTATCACAGTATAAAACTGATGGTCCCAAAACTGCATGGTTGTTGTAAGCTCTCAAGTCATTCTTGAAAACAGGACTTCCCTCATGTTAGGTGAAATATGTAAGAAGCTCTTCTGACATACCACTTGCACACTTCTCTATGGGAGTGAATGGAATATCCATCTACATCCCCTATGAACTGAGAATGACTAGCACATATAAAATTCTAGAAAACAGCACACCACACTGTAGAAGGCACTAAAGCTTCAGCTTGTGCTCCCATAGCCCATTTTGAAAACCCAGTTTTCTTTTTATAATGCCACCTTTGCCACCTACAGCTGACAACACACACTGCAATATTATTCATAATAAGCTTGGGAAGGTCAAGGAAGTTCAAAAAGAAATGCTTACTTTGTGGGGAGACCCAATGATTCTAAACACCGAATACTAATACATTATTATTAGTATTCAACATGGGTGCTCTTCCTTTTGAAAGAGAACAGGAGCATGCATTGTCAGTTGTTTGTTAAACCACTTAGTTAAGCAATTTTAGTCTGTAAAACTATTTTAACAAGAAAAAAAAAACTGTTGTCCTAAACAGTGAGCAAAAGAAAACACAATAAGTGAGAATTTAACACAATCACCATAAATCCTGTGAAGTAAATGTTAAAAACTTCTTACATACTCTGCACTTACAAGGGTGTGTATATATTTGCACCGATTTCAAGCACATCATCAAATCTGTATATATTGAAATTTAAAAAGAAAAAAAAGTAAAACAATACAAAATTCAGCAACTACCATTTTTTAAAAGAGCCTCCAATGCTTATCTCCAGTCTTTATGGATAGTACAAATTTGGATCTTTGATGTCCCATCTATTTGTAATAGTTCTTGGCAAACACTAACAAACCACATGACAAGTGTGTCAGCCACCATGGAAATGCACAGATTCTAGAAGATGAGTTTGGGTCACATGTGTTATTTTCACGATGTCCATGCTTTATTTTCTTACTCCGTAACAAGATGGCCACAAAGTCACCTAACAACTAGAAAAGCTGTTAGTTTGTATCTTTATGCTCAACTGGATTTCTTCACTGTTTGACATCTTGTTGAGAGAATTAAAAGCTTTGGATTTTATTCCAGCATGTGTTTAGAGGTGCATTTGTCAGTCCTATACTGCTTCTGTTTTGGTAGAGAGGTTTTCTTCATTTGGCTGACAACTCCCATTTTGCTGTACTTTGTTTTCCTCAGTCCTTGGTGCATCCTTGTCATCTACTTCTTTGCCCACGCTTGAATCTGGTTCTTTATTGTGTTCCTTCTCCTAAAATGAATATTAAGCCACACATTTAATATTTTTCTCAAGAGTTACATACTATTACATCTGGTTATGGCTAAAATACATACTTCTGTCAACTTAGTACAAGTAGGTATTTTCTCTCATTACCTTATCATATAAATAAGGTATGCAAACATGTATCAGTATGTCCTCTGTACTTCTCATAAAAGATGGAAATTGTAAATTAAATTAGAATAAAACAATCAGAAAGAAAGTCTAAGAAGTGTTCAATAAATGTTACTGAACTGAAAAAGTGGGACTATCTGCTGAAAGAGTTGAATAGCTCCCAAAGATGCCAGGATAGATTTGTAATCTGGATACCAAAGAAGCAGAATTCAGAGGATGTAGAATAAGGAATCACTACTCGTCCTAGCAAAGACTGCTCAAGAACAATTCTGCCCTCAGCTTAAAGGAGAATTAAATGAGAACATATGGAAAAATGCCTGACACACAGTAATGCTCAAGAGACACTATCAATGTTACTGACGATGATGATAAACCCCTACCAATATGAGAGTAAATAAAATTAAAAGATGAAAGCTCCAGAACTCATAATTGATTTCCAAATACAAATACACTTACTGGAATAACAGAGCAATTAATGTAATTTATAAGTAGTTAAATATTTATCCCCAAAAACACCCTTACTTGGTGGAATTTGGTTTTCCATTATTATTCTAATTCAACAAACCTACTAATTTCAGTATATGTTACAAAACCAATGACGGAAAAAAAAAGGGGAGCGCCTGGGTGGCTCAGTCATTAAGCATCTGCCTTCGGCTCAGGTCAGGATCCCAGGGTCCCGCGATCGAGCCCCGCATCAGGCTCCCTGCTCATCGGGAAGTCTGCTTCTCCCTCTCCCACTCCCCCTGCTTGTGTTCCCTCTTTCACTGTGTCTCGCTCTGTCAAATAAACAAATAAAATCTTTAAAAAAAATAAAAATAAATAAATCTAGTTCTATGTAAAAAAGAATCTCAATTATTAATTTTTTAAAGCCTAAACAACAAATGACTGCAACTTACTTTAAGTGAAGTATTGTTCTTCTCCAACTTTTCCTTTCCATCTCGGTCATGAGAACTCTTTCTTGTAGAGCTTGAACGTTCTCTCTCTCTTCTTTCACTAATGTGGTCCCTTTCTTTTTCTCTCTTTTTATCCTTCTTATTTCTGCTATAAGAACAGTAATAATATGCCAGTTAACTTCTAAGAAATTAAAGACCTATGTTGTTGACAAAACAGTCTTATCTAACACTAATGCAAATGTAATCTGATTTGACCAAGTAACATAAACAGTCCTAGAGCCCCACCTGCTCCACCCTATACCCCAATTACTTTTTTAAAGATGCCCAAGTCTTTTTTTGCAGAAGCCACCATGTGTTCACATAAAACACAATTTGGTATTTTCAATTTATTTATCAATCTCAACTGTAATGAGATTAAAATAAAACCAAATATATGGGCTTTTTACCCACCTTTTCAAAGCAAAAAATGAATAAGCAGAAAGAAATGAAAAGGATAAAGAATTAGAGGTGGTTCCGGGGAGGACTGAATGACTGAGTACCAGCAAAACTTGAATTTCAAATAACCCGTGCTACTGCCCTTGTCATTCACCATTACAAACAAGTCACACCAATTCAAGATCAAAAGCTACATGAACAAGTTCCACTGATAACAAAATACCTTTAGAATTAGAGGGAAAAAACAATGCATTTCCGATCAGAAGCATAAGCTGCCTTTCTACTTTAAAAAGTTAGCCTTAACATGGAATTCTAGGCTTTTTTCTCTTAATAATGGATAATTCAAAAATAAAGACAAAGACCAAGAAAACAAATAAAGACATTGAGCAAACAGACCTAAGTACATATGAAAATTTAGTATAACAAAGGTGGCATCTCAAATCATTGAGGAAAAGATGACCTTTTATAAATAAAAGGTATGGAGACAAGTGGATTATTATTTGGTAAGTGATAAAACTTGATCAATATCTCATATCTCATTCCACAATATATAAATAAGTCCAAATGGATGAGAGACCTAAATTCTTAAAATAAAATACAAGTGCTAAAAGAAAACATGGGTAAATTTCCTTACTATCTGGGTTTTGAAAAGAAAGATTTTTTAACCCAACTAAGAATCAGGTACAATAAAAAACTGATAAATTTGCCTACATAAGCCTTGCAAGGAAAAAAAAAAAGGCATTACCATATTCAAAAGAAAAATGACATATTTGCAACATATGTGTGCATCTTTCTACATAATTTTTAAATGTCAAGGGAACAGTCACATCAAACTGAGTAAAATTCTTAGGAATAAATTTAACCAAGGAGGCAAAAAATTTGCTGAAAAAGATGAAGACAAATAAATAGAAAGACATCCACGTTTATGGATTGGAAGACTTAAATATTGTTAAAATGGCAATACTGTCCAAAGCCATCTAGAGATTGAATGCAACCCCTATCAAAATCCCACTGTTATTATTGCAGAAATACAAAACTCATCCTAAAATGCATATAGAATCTTGAAGGATATCAAACAGCCAAAACAATCTTAAAAAGAACAAAGTTTGAAGGCACAGCATTCCCAATTTCAAAACTTACTTAGGTACAGTACTCAAAAACAGCACAGTATTACATAAAGAAAGAAAATAAACCAGTGGAATAGACCAGAAGACCCAGAAATAAACCCCCATATATATGATTCAAACGATTTCTGACAAGGATGCCATGACCCATTCAATGGGGAAAGGACAATCTTTTCAACAAACTGACACTGGGAAAACGATATCCACACACACAAGAATGAAGTTGGACCATTATCTTATACCATGTTAAAAAGTTAACTCAAAATGGATCAAAAATCTAAATATATATGCTAAAGCCATAAAATTCTTAGAAGAAAACACAGGAGAAAATCTTCATGACATTGCATTTGGCAACGTTTTCTTGGATATGACACCAAAAGCACAGGCATCAAAAGGAAAAAATAGATAAATCTGACTTCATCACAAGTAAGAACTTTTGTGCACCAAAGAGTACTATATCAAGAAAGTAAGAAGCCAACCCACAAGAGAGATATCTGCAAATCATGTCTCTGGCACGAGATTAATATACAGAATTTAAAGAACTCTTACAAACAACTTAAAATACAAAAATAACCCAATTTGGAAATAGGCAAAAAACTTAAAAAGACGTGTCCCCTAAGATATACAATCAATAAAGCACACAAAAAGATGCTCAATATCACTATTCGTTAGAAAAACGCAAATCAAAACCACAATGAGATACCACTACGCACTCAACAGAATGGCTATAATCAGAGGCAGACGATAACAAGTGATGGTGAGCATGTGGAAAAATTGGGAGTTCTAGCACAACGCTAGTGGGAAGGAAGAATGTCAAAGGTGCTTGGGAAAAGTTTGGCAGTTTCTAAAAAGATTAAGAGAGAGGCACCTGGCTGGTTCTGTTGGTGGAGCAGGGGACTCTTGGTCTCAGGGCTATGAGTTTGAGTGAGTAATAGAGATTACTTAGAAAATTAATTAATTAATTAATTAGATTCACTGCTCAGCATACTGATCAAAAAAAAAAGATAGTACCAGAGGACTCAGCAATTACCACTCCTTGGGCACATGCCCCAGAGAAATGAAAACACGTGTCCACACAAAAACCTGTACATGAATGTTCATAAAAGTACTACACATAATACCTAAAAAATGGAAAAATACTAAAAGTTCATTAACTAATGAATGGGTAAATAAAAGATGGTTTTATCCACTCAATAGAATATTATTCACACAAGGAATCAGGTACTGATACATGCTACAACATGAACCTTGAAAACATTACATTTAGTCAAAGAAGCCAGATACAAAACACTATGCATACTGCATGAGTTTACACATGAATGTCCGGAACAGGCAAATCCACAGACAGTAAGTTAGACTAGTGGCTTCCAGGAGCAGGGGGGAGTAACTGCTTATGGGTACAGGTTTTCAAGTGAAAAAGATGTTCTGGAATTAAGTAGCAGTGATGGTTGACAATACTGTGAACCTAACTAAAGACCAGTGAATTGCACGTTTAAAGTGAATTTTATGACATGTGGATTATTTCTCAATTAAAAAAAAAAAACAACCAAGGGACGCCTGGGTGGCTCAGTCGTTAAGCATCTGCCTTCAGCTCAGGTCATGATCCCAGGGTCCTGGGACTGAGGTCCACATTGGGCTCCCTGCTCTGCAGGAAGCCTGCTTCTCCCTCTCCCACTCCCCCTGCTTGTGTTCCCTCTCTCGCTGTCTCTCTGTCAAATAAATAAATAACATCTTTTAAATAAATAAACCAACCAACCCAAGGTGTAGGTGGGGCTAGGTACAGTCACACACAAACACACACACACACACACACACACACACACACACACACACACAGTATACATAAAGCATGCTCTCTTTTGTGAAGGAAGAAGGAGATATTCTAATCAATGTATCTGCTAAGTTTTGCAAAAAGAAACACAGGAAGGATAAAAACGATCACTTACAGAGGGTGGATGGGGAGCAACGCAGAAGGAATAGGCAAGAAGTGACTTTGTGAACACATCTTTTTATCTGAGTTCCTAACTGTGAAAAGTTTTTAACTTTCATAAGTAATAAAAATATATATGCGGCCCACAAGTACAGTATCGTATGCCTTCCATTATTTTCACCTCAAAACAATAACCCACAAGCAAATAAACATGAAACCCCTGCTGAGAAACATGCTCCTCTTTACACTCAGGCAAAGGTTTTTGTAAATTTCTTTTCTATACCTAGAAAACCACATGAAAAACTATGACCAGGGCGCCTGGGTGGCTCAGTTGGTTAAGCGACTGCCTTCGGCTCGGGTCATGATCCCGGAGTCCCGGGATCGAGTCCCACATCGGGCTCCCTGCTCGGCAGGGAGTCTGCTCCTCCCTCTGACCCTCTTCCCTCTCGTGCTCTCTATCTCTCATTCTCTCTCTCTCAAATAAATAAATAAAATCTTTAAAAAAAAAAAAAAAAAGAAAAACTATGACCAGTCATTAAGGTGGTGGAATGAAAAATAAATACACAGAATGCAATAATCTTCCTTTGCAGCACAAACCCAACCTCCAATGAGAGGATATAATGAAAGAAAAGACCTCATTAACAAGAACAACAACAACAACAAAATACCTAGGAATAAACTTAGAAGATGCATAAAATCTGTACAAAACAAGCACTGAAACATTCCTAAAGAACACTATGGATGGTTTAAAGAAATAAAAAAGAGACTGGATAGAAAGACTCATCATCATAAAGCTTTATTAATAAAATCTATTTAATCAATTTCCCCTAAGTTAATTAATAAATTTAATGCAACTGTAATACAAATCATCACCAGATTTTATTTCTAAAACCTGAACAACTGACTCTTATTTTCAAATGGAAAAATAAACAGGCCAGAATGGTCAGAAATGCTCAAAAAACAGCAGCGGAAGTGTGGGAGAGGATCAGCCTTACTAAATGTTAAAAAAATACTACACAATTTGAATAATAAAAAGCATGGAGCATTGGTACACGAATCATCAGTCAAACCAACCCAGCAGCAGTGAAGGCCCAGAAATAGACCCAAACACAAAAAGAAATATTTAGTACCGGAAAAGGCAATATTAATATAAGAAATCAATGTTAGAAAAATTGAGTTTTTAATAAATGATACTGATCAAAAGCATATAGAAAAATAAAATTGGACCCACATGCCATACTGTAACATAAGGATGAACTCCTAATGGATCAAAGATTTTAATGCAGTAAGTAAAACCATAGAAGTATAAGAAGAAACAAGGGGGGCATTCTATTATAATCTTGGAATAGAAAAGACCTTTCTAACTTTATATGACTCAAAATCCAGAAGTCATTAAAGAAAAAATTTGAGGGGTGCGTGGCTGGCTCAGTCAGTAGAGCATGTGACCCTCAATCTCAGGGTTTTGAGTTTGAGCTCCACACTGGGTGTAAAGAAAAAAAAAGAAAGAAAAATTTTGGGAAATTATAAAAAAAAAAAAAAATCAAAATCCTTTGTAAAATCAAGTCTCATAATATTTTCTGAAAAGAAACGACAAAGTAGGAATGATACCTAGTATCAAATCACTAAAGAATAATCTCCCTAATACAAAGACGCTTGGCTGGATCAGAAGAGCATGCTACTCCTGATCTCAGGGTCGTTGAGTTCGAGCACCATGTTGGGGGTAGTGTTTACTAAAAAACAAAAAACAAACAAAAACAAAAACAAAAAAACAAACCTTAAAAAAAAAAATCACTCTAATACAAAAAGAACCCCTGGAAATAAAAAAAAAACAAACAAAAAGCAGAGCCCACCAAAAAAAAAATGGGCAAAGCATACCAACAACTCACAGAAAAGGAAATACAAATGGCCTTCAAATATATGAAAAGGTCACCTTCACTCCTAAGAGAAATGCAACTAAAATTACTATATACTGATACCATTTCTCATCTATCAGACAGACAAAAATCCACGACTGCAGTAACATAATATGGTGTAGCTGACAGAAAACACTCTCATACACACCGGCTGAAGTGCAAATTGCTGCCAATCTTTATGGAGGGCAATAAAGAAACACGTCTCAAAATTATAAACACACTCTGACACAATACCACTTTTGGAATTTTCCCACACACCTGCACACAACAAAGTTAAGTCCAAAGCTATTCATTACAGTATGGTCTAATTTATAATAGGAAAATTAAGCAAACCCATCCTACTGCGGGCTGGTTAAATAAACCAAGGTAGTGCCACACAATGGAAGTCCATGCAGTTCTAAAAAAAGAATGAAGCGGCACTCGCTGATGAATATGTAAAGCTCTCCGGGCAGTTGGGTGACAAAAAGCAAGGGCACAACAGTGTGTTTTTTGTGCTACCTTTTGCATAAGAAATATGAAAAGAAACTATAAATTTTGAGCTCGTGTATCTCTACACAAAACTGGAAGGGTATGCAATACAAAAAAGCGAAGTCACTACTTATGGACACAGAGGAGATGAGTGCATAGGTGAAGACCTACTGAGTTATAACTTTTTATACTGTTGGGATTTCTGAAACATGCAAATGTTTAACATATTACTCATTTAAAATATAAAGTTTAAAAATAGATCCAAAAGAAGATTTTTCTTCCCCCGCTCCATCTTTGGATTTAGCACACACTTTCAACCTACCTCCTAGGGGATGGAGATCTAGAAGATTTCCTTTTTATAGTTTTTGATGTTCTTGGTGATCTGGAAGAACTCCTGCTCCTCCTCCTACGCCTTTCCCTGAAAGTCAAAAATATATCATTTAAAAATACAGCAATTTTAATAAAGGGCAATTCAAATACACAAAAGCAAAAAGGTCCTTAATGCTCTCAAGTTAACAGTAGTCTTTCAAAGACCAGTTTAAACTCATGTCCTTTAAGAACGTGTTCTATTATCTAATATTAGTGCAGGTCAAATTTTGAACCATAAATTTTACATGAAAATATGTTCTGAGATTTCGTAACAGAAAAGGACGAAGATTCCTTTTCATCCGGCTTATCTGAGTAAGAACTTCCTGAATAGAAAAAATATTAATGGATATTTCAGATTCTCTCAAGTTAAGTATGTTCTTCTCCAGCATCTAAAACATGTTTTGCTTATCCAGATCCTTTGTCCTGTATCTAGCTCCTTGCTGCCCCACTGTGGATTATTTTATAAAAGATTAAGGTGGCTTGCAAAATGTGAACTTTACAAATCCAAGCATTCAGAATGTCTCTAAAAAAGCATTTACATTAATCTATTTTACAGAGAAATTGTTTTACCCTTCAACTTCCTAACATTTTATTGTTCTATTCATTTAAAACCGAGTACACAAGTTGCTTAGAAGTAAAAGAGTTAAAACCTGGGCCTTAAATATGAGATAAAAAAAATAACTACTGAATTAACAGTGTTTACTATTATTAAAAATGATTTTCTTTAACATGTTAGCAAATGATGCATACTCAAAATTACTTCATTTATAAGCATGGTCAACTGAGAAACAATGAATTTCAAGATGTCCATAACTCAGGGGATGACGCAGGAGGACATACTTACTATGATTAATGTGTCCCATGAACTCACAAGGAGCTCTAATAATTAGTGGCCATATAGGTGAAAGAACCAAATCCCCTAGAATCCAAGTTCTCCATACCACCTCAGTAAGAATATTCTAAGCTAAAGAAGCATTTTGCCTACATTTTTCATTATAAAATAAATATTAGATAATGCTCAGATGTGGTAGATACAGTATATGTTAAGACCAAATTAGCCAAGAACTTTGAAAATACCATCAACTCCAATTTTACCTAAAGCTCTCTCCTCCATTACCCAATTTTATTTCCAAGACACCCCAAAATTATAGTTCCTGACTAATGTGAAAATAGGTGAAGATATTCCATTCAGTCAATGCCATTCTGTAACAGCTCAGCATAAGTACCATAGATACTTATTTCATAGCATGAGAATATCATTTTAACTTTGTTCAGGAAGCACTATGTACAGGTGGACATCTGATAACTAACAGCTGATGATAATGAGCACTAAGGCTGGATAGACAGCAATCTAGAACGTCAATTAGTTGAGAAAGAGGCAGTCAGGGGTAGTATACGGAACTGTAGTTGGTTAGACTTAGATTTAAATTTTAGTTCCATACCTTACCAGATGCATGACTAAGGTCATATTACTTAATCTGAGTTTCAGTTTTTCCAACTGGAAAATGGAGTTAATAACTCAATTTGATAGTGTTGTTATGAGGATTTAGGATGATACCTATAAAGTACCACGCACAGTCTCTTGCACATACCTGGTGTCAATATTTTCTCCTTTCTCCTCACTAGCTTTATTGCTAGTTACTGTAAACACTCAAAGTTGCTTAAATATCAAAATTTTCTTTAAAAATGTAGATTGGGGGCACCTGGGTGGTTCAGTCGGTTAAGCATCTGCCTTCGGCTCAGATCACAATCCCAGGGTCTTGGGATTGAGTCCCACATCGAGTTCCCCGCTCAGCGGGGAGTCTGCTTCTCTCTCTCCTTCTACCCTTCCACCCCTGCCTGCTCTCTCTCTCTCAAATAAATAAAATCTTTAAAAAAATAAATAAAATAAAATAAAAATGTAGATTTAGAGGATGATGTTGAAAATAAAAATACCAAGTACTCTATTTTTCTGAGCCATTAAAATGTTTCCTGTTAACTAAACAAATCAGAGCACATGAAAAACAGAAAAATACTAAAAGATGACAAATTTTAACTCTTCACCAAGCTCTTATGAAAGCACAAAACATGCCAAACTTCAGAACCTTTAGAAACTAACATTAGTCAGCATTTCTTCCCAAGGCCCCAGAGGTTAGTTAAGAATCTATTTAGGAATGAATGTAAACATCTGAACTTCCTTAAATGTCAAGCAACTTAAAATGGCCCCCCCAAAAATTAAACATTTCAAAGTCATCCAAAAAGTAAATTCAACTGAATTTAAAAGGAATCAAAACATTGTTTTCTGTTATGAAGGGCAATAACTAAATGATCACATAAACACAAAGGAAGGTGTGACAGACAATAAAATCACTGTGCAGTAAAGGAACAGGCTTGCAAGGCTTGACTGATGTCCACAGCAATGAGACTAACTTAATTCTTCAGTTTCCGGTTCAGTGTGCTGAAATATGGTAGTGATCTGTTTATTTTAAGCCCCAGTTAAACATACACTGTTGTTTTCAACTTTATGCTTCTGCAGCAGTTTCTTAAAACAGGTACCAAGTACTGATTAGAGAATTCTCAAACTTAATCTCTTAGAAAGAAGAGAAAGAGCTACCATATTTCTAATATGGAAGTGTGGAGCAGATGGAAAACTTCCCGAAAGCTATGGTATTATCATACTTTGAAACCATGATAATAATAGTCTTCTCACAGACTTACTGTGAGGAATAAGATTAGTCATGAAAAACCGTGCAGAGACAAAACCTGGCATTTGGTAAAACATTCAATAAACGCCTGCAATTATCTTGTAGTACCTAACCAAAGACTGGTATTAAGAACAAGCTATTGGGGCGCCTGGGTGGCTCAGTCAGTTAAGCGTCTGCCTTCGGCTCAGGTCATGATCCCAGGGTCCTGGGATCAAGCCCCGCATCGGGCTCCCTGCTCGGCGGGAAGCCTGCTTCTCCCTCTCCCACTCCCCCTGCTTGTGTTCCCTCTCTCGCTGTGTCTCTGTCAAATAAATAAAATCTTAAACAAACAAAAATTGACAGATCAAGGAAAACCAAAATTTAAATGTCATGCACTCAACAAATAGAGCAGTAAAAATCACTTAAATGAAATTTTAATAAACATTCTGCATATTAAAATTTACCAAGAGGTCAATTCTTCCATTTAAAAAAAAAAAAAGAAGAAGAAAAGAAAAACTTGTCCTTGCCCTCTCATCCTCCAAGAAAATAAGCAGCAGCAGCCACTGCCGGCACCAGGAATTACAAAGGATAGTTAAAAGTTTTCAAATAACTTTGCCCACTTATCATCTCTTCCCCTTCACAGGTTCAATACTGCAGCGAGCACTCTACTAAGAGAAATGTTTCTTCTGCAATCAGAGCGCAATGATCCGGTTATTACTGTATTGTTTCCACCTACGTAGCATCATCTCTTCCTTCTTGGTTAAAATTTACATTTTCATTTGTCATCAGCAAACCCCCTGGTAGAAATTTTAAGCATTATCAAACCTGCTGGAACTACGAGATCTTCTTGACGCATTGTAACTCCGGGGCGGTGTTCTGGATTTTTTATCCTTCCTTCTTTTCTCCTCTATCTCTCTCGATCTGTCCTTGTCCTGTTCCTTCTCCTTGTCTCGCTCCTTGTCATGTTCTTTTTCCCGCTCTCGCTCTCTGTCCTTTTCCTTGTCTTTTTCCCGGTCCTTTTCCCGTTCTTTATCCCGGTCTTTCTCTTTGTTTTTACCCCGTTCCTTTTCTTTTTCACGTTCTTTCTCCCTGTCTCTCTCTTTTTCCCTTTCCTTTTCTCTATCTTTTTCTTTCACTTTTTCCTTTTCCTTGATCTTTTCTCGGGTGTCTTTTCTCTTGTCCCTTTAAAAACAAAAATAAATAAATAAATTCACAACTAAAATTATTCTACTCCCCAAAAAGGACCTCCCTCTCGTTCCTCAACAATTATCAACCCAAAACAATTTATAACAGTTTATAATACATTACATGGTAATCTCTATGTAACCCAGGTGTACATGAAGCTGTTAGATAAAGAGTTACCCGGTTTAATTATGTATTTGAGAAACCTCATGAGTCATTCTAATCATCAGATTCAAATCAATGGCAATCAATATTAATCACTACTAAAACAATCAGAAAAAAGTTTACTGTCTCTCATTAAAAACCTAAACCATAGTAATTTTTTAATAAGTGAAGCTACGAGAAAAATTACCACTAATTTCCCCAAAACTCACCGTGAACGCGAACGACTCCTTGACTTCCGTCTCTCCCTTGATTTAGAGCGTTTTTTATGTGGGCTCTTAGATCTACGTCTGTCTTTTTGTCTTGAACGTGATCTATTATGGGATCTACTCCTAAAGAAAAACAAGTTGTTAGAATGTCAAAACTTACTCTTAAAATTTCACTTTTTAAAAATGTAAGATGTCTTTCAAGTGAGAAAAATTTAAAACCTATTCCAACATTCCTTTCCATATTTTGGAATTCTCTATTACATAACGCCTCAGATTATTTGCAGTAATTTATTTATTGGCAACTTTACCAAACAGTTCATTTTCAGAACACAAAGAGAAAGAAATTATTTTCTATGTCAGACTGAAGCTATTATTTTCAAGTGTGGCTTTCTTGTCTAATTATTATATGCCTGTTACTATATGAGTTCTCCAACAGAACAAGTTTGTATACCATAAATTAAATTTAACTCTTGACTTGCATGTAATTGCTTGTGGTTATACTTTCACAAGAAATAGTGGTTTTCTGGCTCAAGAGTTTCTCTAACTGGCTGTGTGATGTCTGTCATAACATATATTAAGAATGTATAAGGAAGCACAGTACTAATTACGCTGCTAGTGTGACAAGAAAATAAACATTACTCATGAGTTGAAGCTATAGATAATTAAATGTTGGATTTGCAAGACCTCTTGATTTTATAACTATATAAACATAGCTATTAAAAGAAACTTTTTAAAGATTTTATATATTTGAGAGTGTGAGCATGATCAGGGGGAGGGAAGGGCAGAGGAGAGGGAGGAGACTCCCTGCTGAGCAGGGAGCTCAACACGGGGCTGGATCCCAGAACTCTGGAATCATAACCTGAGTCAAAGGCAGACGCTTAACCGACTGAGCCACCCAGGTGCTCCCTAAAAAAAACCTTTATTACTGGAATTCTTGCGGGAAAAATAACGATTACTCCAATTCTGAAATTCTCTAGGCTCCTTATTCCCACTGAAATAATGCTTATATAATGTGATTTTTATCCTAGTAACTATTTATTAAAATATAACAAAACTGAATGCACACAAATAACAAAATGAGGAGACTCACCAGCTCTGGAGTGAAACAATCTGGCTCTGACACTCAGCTCTGCTACATACTAGCTTTGCGAACTCTGGTTACTCACTTACCCTAAGCCTAGTTTCTTCATCTACAAAGTTGGAGAATCATACCTACATCACCTACGCCTGTAATGAGGACTAAATCAGATGACACATGAAAGACTGCCTAGCAGTCTCGGGCACAGAATAAATGTTCAAAATAATTCTTAACTCTCAAGATCATCAGCATTAACAATTAACATAAATGAAAACTTTAAGTTACAGCTTTATTTATTCCAAGGAGATCAAATGAACTTCCACAAGTATGCTTTATATAATTAAAATTCATCTTGATAGTCATGTTTTCATGAGTTAAGTTAAAACAAAGATCTATAAAAGAAATACATACAGTTAAATTCTTGTGGTATGCTAAGCCAGAAAAATCTTGAGACAATTTTCAATTAATAATGAAATCCTGTTTTTTTAAATACACTTTCCAGTTAGTTAAAATGTTTCCCAACAGCTAATTTTCAACTGAACCACTCATCTATTTTATGGCTTTAAAAATTATACATTTATCTTCATACCCTATTTTCAATACAAGAAGATAAGCCACGGTTTGTTGAAATCTTTATTACTAATAACCCAAGAGACAATCGGGCAAGTGGTAGGTAAAAGCAAAACTGCAAAACTTAAGACATTTTAAATCCATTTACAGACATCCACATAAGGGGAATGTTTTATAAGGCCTTTGCTTCTACGCACTTAATAGGAAGTCTTTACATTTCTGTTCTAGTTAACCTTGCTAAAAATATACATAGTAATTTTGTTTTCCTCAAACACTGCTTTCCAACCTTAATTAAACAAAGAAACACCTTTTAAAAAAGTAAGTGTAGCTTTAGGAAGTAAGAATTAATTTTAAAAACACTGATCACTTGGCTTCCCACCTTACCCCTACAGGTCCTCAGAGTTTGGAAGTCCCAAGTGTAATTACTGTATTTTAATTCTGACATTAAATATTTTCATGTCCCTATTTCACCCACTAGTCACCTCCAAACAAGTGTTCTGATTAGGAATACTAAAAGCTTCAAGTTAAGAGCAAATCTAATCCAACCAAACAGAAAGACTTGAGTTATCATTAGGAGATCTCAATTCAGCATAATGTGCAAAATCACATTTATAAATTAAACTGTACATACAGGGCAACTTACCATCATGTCTCATCAAAGTTCAACTCTAAGTCTGCTTAATTAAAATATTATAAAATGTCTTATAGTTCCCATGCTGGTCTGTCAAGGTTACTTAGCTTTAAAATATAATAATTACAGTACTACCCACCTTTTCTAACACTGTCCTTTGAAAAAAACACATATAAAATTTTGAACAAAGTCAAAATACATCTCCCTGGTCCTAGCCAAGATCACAGTGACAAGAAACCCCTTCCTGCCTCCTACTATACAAGGGGAAGGAACAAGGAAAGGATAGGGGCTGGAGGGAGGTTCCAGAAGCATCTGAGAATGCTGAGAAAGTAGAATAGGGTGGGCCTTCAAGAGCGAAGGCTCCTGCAACTCGTACTCCTGCTAATAAGTCTAATGGGGCAGAGCCAGAGCTGAGGGTATCAAATCCCACTAGCAGGGGAAGCCAAGAAATGCCTGCCATCCCCCTCCCCTACCAGGGAAGATCCTTCCATACCAAGATTTTTAAGTCAAATGTTTTCAGTTAAGGGACTTTTTTTTTTTTTCCCTTAAAAAGAACCTTTCTTCTTTTGTATTTCTTTATGAACTCACTAAAGGCTGTATGTGTTTCTGTACATGTATAAAAATAGTATAAATAAAGTATAGTAAATAGTATAAATTTACACACTACATAAATATGACAGTGTTACAAGACAGATAGGTATGCCAAAAGCAAGTAATTTCCAATGCTACATAGTTAGACAAACCTACAGGAAAACATTCTCATGAATTAAGAACGGTAATTAACAAATTTCATTTTAGACTGAAAAACCCTTCCCCTACTAACCCCTAGAAGGGGAAAATATCCAAATATACCTAAAATGATAAAAGCAAGTACCTTAAAGCAGAGAGTTAAATAAATCTGCTCCAACAGATAAATCTTCACAGAGATTATCAAGGAAACAATGATGTTAATCAAGTTTTGCTTTTTTCCAGCCTTATAAAACCACTAAGGTAGGATATTTGGAGCACGGCTCTTGTAATCAACACAAAATGAAATTCGGGTCATTGGTCTTTTTCCTCCTCAGAAAAGAAGTAATTACTCTTGAGCTCAATTTTATATTTCCTTTATCTCCTTTACGTTCACCACATCCTGTCAACCTGTAGAAATGTCCACAATCTAGTGCCACTGCTTCTATACCACTTTCCTTCTCCAGCACTGGCTTCTGTTGCTCTACGTATGCCTTGTACATGCAACAACTTCCTTCACTTGGACCTGAACTTGCCTTACTGGAAGCCCTTGAAGGGAGACAGTAAAACTAAATCACAAAAGAGACCTTACAAACGAAGAATAATGTAAAAGTATACACCTTGATATCACAGAAAAACAGAGTAAACCGAGCCTGCTGATGAGGTTCAACATACAGCACACCGGTTCCCTTTTCCCCTCCTCTCAAACCTTCCTCCTTCTCCAATACCACCACACACACTGTGCACACACACGCACACACACTTTTCTCTACATCTTCTCTTTAGACCTACGTGTGTACATATTAACACGCAACTGGGACCCACTATATACATTCTCACATTTCAGTAACACCTCCCACATCTTAAAGAAGACAAAATTTTTCACTTTAAACACGATTCTTAGGGCACTTCCAAATCAAAATGCTGTTGCAAGTTCACATTTTGAGGTCCACTTCAGACTACGTACAACACAACAGATTTTTTATTTATCATTATTTTTTAGATTTTATTTATTTGACACAGAGAGAGCATAAGCAGGGGGAGTGGGAGAGGGAGAAGCAGGCTCCCCACCTGAGCAGGGAGCCCAATGTGGGGCTCGATCCCAGGACCCTGAGCCGAATGCAGACACACTTAACCGGCTGAGCCACCCAGGCGCCCCCCCATTTTTTTTTTTTAAATTAAAATTACAGAACTATGTTCCAAAGTAAGATAAACAGAACAGAAACAGAGCTTAAGCATAATAAAATAGCTGGAACTAAAGCTACAAAGTTACTGCTGTGTTTCAGGTCCCAAAGTGGGTGCAGGAAGCTCTTATTATCAAGAATACCAAAGATTTAAAGCACCTCATTTGACTCATGGAACTAGAGATAGGTAGGTACTGGAATCCAAGATATGAGGTGCTACTCCCCCAAGCCTTGAGTAGCCGGGGGGCAGGGGGGAGGCACAGTGAGCCACAACAATAGTTCAGCATCACCATACATATATATTCCCTTTTCTCAAGAAAAAGAATGAAAAGTTTCTGCCAGTCCTCTATAAAGAATAGTTTATTCTTAGAAAAATCAGGAATAGAGCACCTAAAGAGAGAAAACCAACTTCTGAAACAGAAAATTGAGATAATAAAAATTATGTATCAATTAGATAAAATTTCATTCTTAACTACACTATTATAATTAAAGCAACATTTAATGATAAGCATAATTCCTGGTGAGCTCCACTGAAATTTCTAAATTCTGATACATAAACAAAAACTCAGAAAATCTTAACTATTTTAAATACCAGACCAAAAAAATTTTAAATATGATAGCAGAAATTCTCACCTGTGTTTTGACTGTGATCTTTTTCGTCTAGAATGGGATTTTGAGCTAGACCTGGATTTTGAACGAGTGTGGGAACGAGATCGACCGCCTTTTCTTTCATTGCTCTTTCCAGACTCTGGGAGGAAAAAACCACTTTGCAGTGTAAGCTCAGAACAATTAAAGATCCCAGTTAATAATCAGGCACAAGTGGAATGTACCACATATAGTGCAAGGGGCCTACTCTCTGTACATCCTCCTCCTGTGCAATTATCCTTCAGAAACATCCAAGAAAGTCATTGCATAAACTCGTTGAGTGCAGCCACCCTGCAGCAGTACATATAAACCAGATGATTATAAACAGCTGTTCGTAATATTTTGTTGCTGCCATAATGTACGATTATAACATGTCTGTAATTCCTATGACAGTGATTTTAAATCTTCTCTCCATTTATTTTGCTAGCAGTGAAGCTTAAATTCTGAGTGCTAATGTAGAAAATTTGCTCAACTGTAAACCACCTAGACATTTTTAGATTGGATTTTTAACTTTTCATAAGCAACATAAAAGTCTGAATAGGTGTTCCTTTACCTTGCTAAAACAGCCTGTATTTTGCCAATCATGGGCTCTCTTTCCTATTTTTAAAATGAGAACTGTGAAGGAAAGTGAACCTGCTTGATTATAACCTTTTGATTATATTAATTCTTACTTTTAGCCTCACAGTAACATTTATACTTTGCTTTAAGCCAATCACTTGTGAGCACTGACTCTGCTACAAAAACATACAGATCTGATTAGCTCAAGCTAATGTGCAATTCAGTATCATAGGAAAACACAACATTTGTGCTAACCAGTTCTTTGACCTTTGACACTAGTAAGTCACTTACTCTTTCTCGAGTTTCAGTCTTCTTGTTTGTAACATGGAGGGACTAAACAAGATAATTTCTAAAATTCCTTCCAGTTCTATGGTTCTATGATCTTAAACTGCAACCTATGTAACAACACTGTGGCCTTACCTGGTTCAATGGCTGCTGAGATAAAGGACTGAGCCTCTCGTACTCGCTTCATTACTTCTTCTAACTCCTTAGCTGCAGCCTGAGGTGTCATCTCAGGGGGTTTTACTATTGCATTGTTGGAGTGATTAATTCTAAATTAAAAATATTAGCATATCACAAATACACACCATATTTTACAAAACATGAAACAAATGTTTATGATACACATATTTATAAATCTGAGGACATCTCGAAAGCACATTAAGAATGATACAGCTAAATACAGAATAATCAAAACCATGATTAATCTCATTATCACTCATCTTTATCTCTTGCTAACAGAGCCAAAAGCAAGGAAAAAAGAAAGAAAAAGTGAACCCTAGCTGACTCCTTAACAACTTGAATATACCAGGACAATTGCTTTTCCACACAACTTAGAATTATAATAAATTACATGCTGACACCAATATTAAAATGCATCATTTCTCATCTTGGATCATAAGATTATGTTGGTATCTCTGCACGCTGGGAGGATGCAGGAGAGGCTATATATGTGCACAATTTCAATCAACCTTGGACCATGGGTGAGTCAGATACAGTTTTGAATGTGGGAGGCACCTGATAAAACTCTTCCCTACTAGGTCAGAAGGGGTTTCTCTGATGCACATAAATGAATCTGGCGAGTCTCACTTCACCCCCTTCACACTGAGAAGACAAGCATTCACTAAAAAGATACTTTATCCTTTCACAGCTGAATCCTGATCAAGCTGTATAACTAAGGCAATTACCTATGAAATTTAGATAAAACTGCTGCCTCAATAATCTGCAAGAAACAGAATTTCTGGTCTTGAGAATGTAAAGTCTATACCAATTTTTCATTTTGCAAACAAGGATATGAGAAAGTATTAAAACTCAAATGACTGATTTAAAACACTTCTGGGTACTTAATATTATTTTCCTCCTGGCATTTTGGATTTATCAAAATTCTTATTACAGTATTATTCTAAGTTCATCTCATATGTTCAATTATCCATTAGTCTAGTCATAATGCAAACCCAATCTGCTTTATTAGAGCTTATGGGAAAAAAACCTATAATCATTATATAGAGTATATAAATAATGTTAATATCAAATTCAATCTTATAAAACAGAAAATGTTTTCAAATACAACTTTAAAGGCTAAAATGGTAACTCATGTATTTCATTTATACTTAACACAAAGTCTTCCTTTCCACAAATTGCCAATTACTATTAAAAAGAAAAAAAAAGCCTTAATTACATCAGAAATAAAGTTTTTCCATTATCATTAAAATTTCTTTGTTTAGGGTTTCTTACTTCAGTGGCCTGTCTCCAAACATAACTCCATTAAAAGCAAGGGCCCTTGGTACAGAATTTTGGTCTGCAAATTCCACAAAAGCAAACCGAGTTGGCTGAGTCTCATCACCTGCCATCCGCACAAACTTCACTTCTCCAACTTGTTTAAAAAATTCAAGTAGTTGATCAGCTGTCGTTGTCTGAAGAAACAGAGTCACACTTTAATAAAGTAATTCTTTTTAAAAAAATTAGGTAAATATTACTTTATCAATCGATATGACTTTGAAGAAGGGGGAAAGAGTAAGAGGTCCTACCAACTCAGTTTTTTCTTAAATTAGTTACCTGGGAATTCAAATTGCCAACATAGACTGTTCTCCTAATTTCATCAATTTTGGAAGGATCCACATTTCCCATAAGTGGTGGCTGTGGTATTTCTCCAAGTGTTGCAATGTTGGGGTCTAGTGCTGCTGCTGGTATGGCTCCCAAACTGCTAAGGGAAACACCCAACTATATATTAAAAAAAAAGAAAGAAAGAAAGAAAGAAAGAAAGAACACATATTTTCTGTTAGTATCAAAGATTACAGTTCTTTAACCTTAAAAAGAAAATGATCAACTCAACAAGAATGGAAGGTGACTAGGGAGTCCCAACTTTAAGCAATGTATATGTCTGAATTATTGAGAAGGAGGTCACAGTAGTTCTGTGTGTAATTAGAAATACAACATAATTCTTAACTATCTGGGTATTTTAACTACTTTCAAACTTGAAACTAAAAATAAACAGTCAATTCTCAGCAGTTATTCACAACAGTTATGTCCTATAAAGTTGCTATATGAGTATTATGCCAATTTCACAGATAAAGAAGACCTACAGATATTAAATAATTTTCCCAAAGCTACTCAGCTACCAAGTGGTAAAAGCAAGGTACTACTATGCACAGACCAGAACTGAAACAGGGATAAAGTTTACCTAAGAAAAGAAACCTGAAAAGCTGAACTTACATATACTTTGATGGGAAAAGGACAAAACCTTTGAATGATCTTTTATAACATTACAAAATTCAGTTTTTAGTTCAAGCGTTAAAGAATATGTTTTTAATGTGAACTTAAACTAGGAAAGATAGAATGTCTCAAAATTTGAAAATAGAAGACTTTGCAGAACTAATGAGAAGACATTTCAAGGGGAAAACAGCTACAACTCAGGGTTGTGAGATGAGACCTGCATCAGGCTATGCGCTGGACATGGAGCCTGCTTAACATTCTCTCTCTACCCCTCCCAACCCCTCCCTCTCTCTCTCTCCCCTGCTCCAAAAAAAGAAAGAAAATTTTGAGCACTGACTATACAACGTTATGAAACTAAGATTAAACAAACACTATGTAAAAATACTTCCAAAAGGTAAAAACGTAAGTTGATGAAACAAGTATCAATTACAGGTGTCGTAACGGCCTGTGTGTGAAATTTTTAAAATGTCAAATTAGGGGTGCCTGGATGGCTCAGTCGTTAAGCCTCTGCCTTCAGTTCAGGTCACGATCCCAGGGTCCTGGGATCAAGCCCCACATCGGGCTCCCTGCTCGGTGGGAAGCCTGTTTCTCCCCCTCCCACCCCCCCCATAGTGTTCCCTCTCTGTCAAATAAATAAATAAAATCTTTAAATAAATAAATAAATAAAATGTCAAATTATGTCTTACCCTGCTTAAAGTCAATCAATGGCTTCTAATTACCTTTTGAATAAAATTCAAATTCCTTTCCATGGCCCAAAAGCCCTATAATCAGTATGCTGTCTATCCTTCAACTACACTGACTGTCATTCTGTACCTTGAAGACAAAGTTTTTCCCACCTTAGGGCTTTTGCTTGGCGTTCCTTCTGCCAAAAAACTCTTCCTCAGCTTCCGCCAGCCAAATCCTTCAAGCATCAGGTCACCCATCCCCTCCAAGAGGCTTTCCCTGACTTTATTTTTTTTTAAGATTTTATTTATTTATTTGACAGAGAGAGACACAGCGAGAGAGGGAACACAAGCAGGGGGAGTGGGAGAGGGAGAAGCAGGCTTCCCGCGGAGCAGGGAGCCTGATGCGGGGCTCGATCCCAGGACTCTGGGATCATGACCTGAGCCGAAGGCAGACGCCTAACAACTGAGCCACCCAGGAGCCCCTCCCTGACTTTATATAAAGCTTCACTTACTCTCTACCACATCACTTTTCTTCTTCATGGTATTATATAATCTGTGGTACCTTGCTACTAACATCTTGGATTTGTTGCTCAGCATTACCATTTCGAGTTATCATAGAGTTGTATAAAATATCTTAATTCAAAATGGGTGAGTGATCTCTGAATCAAGGCTACCACCCTCTAAGCCTAGTTTTTCTCCATGGTTTGCTTATGCATTGACACTCCTTTTTTCCCCCAACACCTTATCTTCTATGGTATTATAAGGTACACAGATGTTTGAGGGTCATTACATTAAATTTTTTTTTTAAAGATTTTTATTTATTTCAGAGAGAGAGAGAGAGAAAGCAAGCAGGGGGAGCAGGAGAGAGGGAGAAGCAGGCTCCCTGCAGGAGAGAGGGAGAGGCAGGCTTCCTGCTGAGCAGGGAGCCTGATCCAGGGTCCGATCCCAGGACCTCAAGATCACGACCTACGCCAAAGGCAGATGCTTAACCAACTGAGCCACCCAGATGCCCCCATCAAATTTTTTCACTGTGCAAGAGATTATATATCTTTAAGTTAAATCACAAATATGACTCTTATTATTTATCAGTTTTGCATGGATTTAAAGCATTGAGCAAGCCTTTCCAGGCACCCCCAGTTGTCAATCCCTTTGACCTGCAAATTTTCTCCACTGGGACATTATATATATACACATACACACACAAACACACACACACTTGGAATGGGCTTTTCCAAACCATCTAATCCATCTAATCTTTAAGTTTCTCAAACTTAAAAATCATTCAGCTCTTTTTCAGAAACTTTTCCCTGTCTCTTCTTTTTACTATACCCTTCTGCTACACCTATGCTATTTAATATGGCAGTCACTAATCCCATACAGCTATCTGAATTTTAATTAAAATTCAGGGACTCATTTCAAGTGCTCAATAGGCACACGTTGCCAGTGGCTACCACACTCGATAGTACAGATACAGACATTTTCTGCACAGCAGAAAGTTCTATTGAATGCAAATGCTCTGTAACAATACAATTACCCTTCTTTTAATTAATCTACTTTCTAGCCCTGGTCTAAGAAATTTAAGTACTTAGTTACCCTTTTGGTCTTCGATGGGTTAAAGATGACCTAGGCTCCTGATCTAACACTTCTGACATAGAAACCATGGCCTCCCTGAAAACGAAATGTTCTAGGCAAAGTATGAGTAAGTACAAAAGCCCTAAAGCAAAAACGTGCTTGGTGTGTTTAAGAAACAACAAAGCCAATACAGCTGAAGTAGAGAAAGCCAGGAAAACAGGTAGGAAAAAGTCAGAGAGGTAAGCAGGAGCCAAGTCACAATGGGCCACCTGTCACATTTTCTAATTCGAATTGTTCTTCATAAATTAAATTTCAAAATAATAGATATCTACAGCTGCATTTAAAGAAAAGCATTTCCCCTTAAGGCAAGAAATTAAATAAAAACTTTATGCTGCTGCTCAATAAACCCTAAGAATTGTCAAGATAGCAAAACAATATTTTCTGAAAAAAAGATAGTGATCCAGGAATTAAGGTGTTAAAATATACCAGAATATAACCAAAATAAAATTTTCTAGAACATTTCTAAAAAGTTTAACTCAAACAATCAGATGATGAATTAAAAAGTATTTTCCTGGGATGCCTGGGTGGCTCATTCAGCTCAGGTCATGATCTCAGGATCATGAGATGAAGCCCTGTGTCAGGGTTCCTTGCTCAGTGGGGAGTCTGCTTGAGATTCTCTCTCTCCCTCTGCCCCTCCCCCCACTCACACACTCTCTCTCTCTCTCTCTCTCTCTAAAATAAATAAATACATCTTTAAAATAAAAGGGGGGGTACCTGTGTGGCTCAGTCAGTTAAGCGTCCAACTCTTGATTTGGGCTCAGGTCATGATCTTGGGGTTGTGAGATCGAGCCCCATGCCAGGCATCACACTGGGTGCGGGACCTCCTTAAGATTCTCTCTCCCTCTGCCCCTCCTCTTTCTACCCCCCTTTAAATTAATTAATTAAAAAAAAAAAAACCCCCTCACCAAAAAAAAAAAAAAAAAAAAAAATTAATTTCCACCAGCAATCACAATGCAGGTCTCCAGCAGTACAAACTTATGCAAAAAAAGACCTAAAATTTTGCACTCTGTTTTATAACTTTGGTAAATTAACTACCATCAAAGGGGTACTTGGCTGGCTTAGTGAGTAGAGTCTGAGACCCTTGATCTCCAGGTGAGTTAGAGCCCCACAATGGGAGTATAACTTACTTTTAAAAAAGGTGGGGAGAGGGCCTGGTTGGCTCGGTTGGCAGAGCATGCAACTCTTGATCTCAGGGTTGTGAGTTCAAGCCCCACACTGAGTGTAGAGATTACTTAAAAATAAAATCTCTAAGGAAAAAAAAGGTATTTTAAAAAATTTACTACTGGGGCGCCTGGGTGGCTCAGTCGTTAACGCGTCTGCCTTCGGCTCAGGTCATGATCCCAGGGTCCTGGGATTGAGTCCCACCTCGGGCTCCCTACTCAGCGGGAAGCCTGCTTCTCCCTCTCCCACTCCCACTGCTTGTGTTCCCTCTCTCGCTGTGTCTCTCTGTCAAATAAATAAAATCTTAAAAAAAAAATTTACTATCATAAAGCTAGTATTAGTTTACTCCCTAATAATCCAATACTACAAAGCTAAGCTACAACTTGCAATTACGGTGAGTTTTATATTTTGTCTTGTATTCATTTTTGAAGAAAAATGACCCTTCTTTAAGATAAATATGACAAGAGCCCAGTAACAGCAAAATCTTTTTTAACCCCTCTTAGAAATCACAAAGGAGGTATTAAATTCCTATTTAATTGCACATAGTTAATGAAAAAATATCTTTACCATGTTTTTACCTTGCTGTATTTTCTCAGTATCAGACAAATGCTTCTCTGAGATTCTTTTTCCTGTTACAAAGCTGTGGATCATTTTATTTTACTTTAATAGATTTAGTCCTCTTGAACTGGGAAATATAGTTACTAGATTTTCCAATTCCCCATGCGATCTAAAATGCTTAGTTTCGATAACTGATTCTCTAACGAATAATCTATTTTAGTTCTCAAATTTAAATGAATGCCCAATTACTTCAGAAAAAAATTCCAAAAGTCAGTTTAAGTCAGTGATAATGTGGGGGGGGATTAAATAGACATTAAGTAGAAAAATTAAGTAGACATTTTGAATCCTTTTCATTTAAAAAAACGATTCAAAACAGAAATAATTTTCTAAGCTCCTTTTCAAATGATTACACAGTTCAACATAAATCTCTTTCAGAAGAGGGTGTGTAATACTTACTGTAGTCAAGGGATTTGGGGTCGGTATGGGAAGCAAGCCTGCACCAGGCATTAGACTTGTCATGGTTGGAGCAGGAGCCAATAAAGAGAGGGCTTTGGATTCCTCTGGAATTTTACCTGCAGAGGCAAGTTCCAAACATTACGGAAAGCAGAAACACCACACAAACTTTACACTATGATTTTACAATTACCCTTGCACTTAAAAAATAATAATAATAAATGAATCTATCTATCAGATCTGTACAAAGAAATAAATAAGAACTTAAGTCTTTCCTTTTATCCTGCTCTACTAGGAAAAATAAAAGTGAGCAAAACTTCAAAGACTAACAATCTCATTAATGGAATATTATTTTAAAAATTGAATAATGTAGACAATTATTTAACACTTTGAGCTATGGGTCACCTGTACTGGAAACTTAATGTTCATGAACCAAACGATATCAAGCATGGACGCTTTCCCAGGACGGTGTTTTCGCGGTGATCGAAAGTTGTGTTACACATGACAACCGTTCGTGTTGGCTGCATCACTAATAGCACACAGAACATCAGATACAGAAAAGAAGAACATTTTTTAAAGTTTAATCCCCAGAAATGGCAAATAACCAAATTAGTCAAAAAAAAGAAAAAGAAAAAACAAATATGTGCGAATTGAAATTTGTTCCTTAATGAGTGCTCCTGGTTACTAAAACTACCTACTGGTGATGCAAACAGTTTTGATAACCTTCCAATAAATTCCATTCAATATCAAGTAGACAGAAAAAACCAAAAGCCTATTCCATGTAATCAGCCTCAATTTAAAAGGATGCCTACACCCAGCTGGTTAAAAAGACATCTCACCAACCAGGCCAGAGATGCCTAAAAGAATCCAATTCCAAAATATATGCCTTGTGAAACTACTAAAATTTTTGAGAATCACTAACAAAAAAAGTTCCCTTGTCTCAGGAAACTTCTTAAAGTCCTGACTTTTAGAACCAATTTATGTATACTTATCTGAAGAGGGGTAGTTAATGCCTAAATGTCTTGCTTATAAACATCTTAATTGCCTAATAAAAATGACAGTAACACTAAAATAATCTTAGACACTAAAAAGAAAAAAAAATCCTTACAACTAAAAAATGAAAAATTTACTCTAAAGTTCATCAATTTGCCATATTTAATTACTAGACTCTAATCAATTAATTTTGATATGAACCGCAACTTTCACACATTTTCCCTTTGTATCCTCTCTTTCTCACTGACACCGCTAAAATTATCTCTTAGAAAGCTGACTACATATATCTATTTTAGAAGAACTACTTATAGTTATATGTAGTTGGCTATATATTTCCATTATGGAGTCCTCAAAAATAATTTAAAACACAGTGTACAAAGTCACACTAAATTGGAAATAGCATATGGAGTTAAGTTTTCAAAAGCACCATGATGGATTTTAGAAGTAAAAATTCTACTTAAAACAACCAGATGTGGAGGGATAAATCTCTAAACAATATTATCTGAATATACCTCTAAACATGGATGGAATTCAAGACAGCTTTTAAATTTTGCTTTAAATAATGGTTACACCTTATTTATAGGAACAGAAAAATTACATTTGATTAGCTTTAACAAATGTCTACTTTTTCCTAAATTCTGCAACATCTAAGTCTACATTAATTTACTAATTTCAAAAACAGTTATTTTATTATTTCAGTGTAAATTCTGCACAAGCACAGATTTTTTAACATGCATAAATAAAAGGTAGGTAGGCCTTACTGAAGACATCAAATAACAGTAATTTATTTTATATTTATTAGTTACTGGTATTGATACAAGTTTCTATATACCCACCTATATATACTAAGCTATTTAAATTGCTACCAGACCCATTTTAACTGTTATAAATAGGTATTATTTTTAATGCTTATAAAACCTGAACACATCTTGATAAATTCAACTGAGGTCCTGTAGCATAAATCTTATGCTTTGTCACCCTAATTTATGTACCCAAAAAACAAATTGTTTCAATTTATTAATGTCCCCAATTTAAGATTACCAGTCAATTAAGTAAGCAAAACTGCCCATAAAAGACAGTGTAGAAAGACTACACAAAATAAAAAGTATTCAACACAGGCCAAAAGATGAATAATTAATATCATACTTTCACTTTTGGCTTAAAAAAAGTATCAATCGGTTATCTGACTCTCACTACCTCTCATAATAGTAATAAGCTATTATAAATATTAAGTCTAACTGTAAGCCCATTTTTTATTTTAATTACCATTAAAGATATCTTAAGAAAAAAGTTCCATTGCTTAACTCCCAAGATAGAATTCTATCAAATTTATCCTCCAAATACTACCAGAGTATATACAAAAATATAAAACAAACAAGCATTTAGCATTTTTCCCAAACTATACTCAAAGACAACTGAGAAGAAAAACATCTCTCAGAGTATTAAAATTAATAGTCCTAATCTCAGAATCCATTTAGAAGCTAGTAACACCTGAAATTTTTTCAAAAAATTCAAGCAGAGAAAGACACATGCCAAGTAAGTTTTCAAAGTCTGTCAAATATCCATTCCCCACACAGGCAAGTAAAAGTCTTTGTAAGTCAAGGAAGTAAGTTCTTTCTGTAGTAAATAACTCAAAAAAGTGAATGTCTCTGCTTGTCCTCTACCCTAGATTATTCTAAGAAATTTACTTATTTTCCTTGAGGATTTTGTATGCCTACAATTCTGGGGGGGAGGGGGAAGGATGAAAATTAGAAGCTGTTAACTGGTTTTTATGAAAGATGTAGATTTGGGAGAAAAATCTGAAATGCTGCAATGAGGTCAGGAAATGTTCCTAAGAATTCTATCAGTGTTTTAGTGTTTCAAGAACAAAATGTACTATGCAGTCTATAAACACCAATTAAGACTCACACTGAGCTTCACAACACTGTATCCTAGTTTACTATGAAAATTTATTTCACTCTAAGATTGAGCTCTGCTAATCATCTCCCAATATAATCTGCAAAGCAATGTTATGAACCCTTAATGGAATACCATTTACAAAGAACTGGAAAACCAGCTCACAAGTTAAAGTGAAAGAGATTTAACAAAACAAAAACAAAAACAAAAACAAAAAAAAGGGACAAAATAAAGAAAAAGAAATGAAATTAAAGTAAAACAATAAAAAACAGAGACAGGGCGTCCATCTTCTGCGGTTCAGACTCCGATCTCATTTCCCCAATGAAGGTTTCACTTGACGGCAGGTTTAGTGGCATGGCAAACAATGCCTAACTCAGGCAAGTGTAACAGGTCTGCCTTGGCCAGTCTAGTCATCTAATAATGCACAAATATCACATAGAGAAAACATACAAAACCAAATTAATAGTCAAAATCCATCTACCAGAAAATGTGGACATAAAGTTACGACTGATGATTAGGCTTGACACCCTTGTTATGTTTGACCTTATCTTTTTTCTAAGTGTTAACATTTATAAAAAAGAAATCTGAGATGCACGCAACAACAAAAAGAGGTCATATCTGGACAAGTATAATGAAGGCATATTTTATTTTGAAATGGCATGTTTTATTAACAATAGCTAATGCTTAATATGCATGAAACTCTTACACATCAAACATTACTTATACAGCTTAGGATCTTGTTACAAAACTGCATTACAAAAACAGCAAATTGAAAGAAAATGAAAAAACTTTTCTTAAAACTGATTCTACGGTTTTCTCATATCTTTCACAATGCTGTTTCTATAACATCAAAGAAAGAATGCAACCAGTGAAGTAAATAGAAGAATGCTTACAGCACCCCATCTTCCTCTAAGAGAAACTTACTCCACTGGAACTCTTTCCTTTGGTTTATTTCAAACTCACTTTGCTATCTTTTTCAGTATAATAACACATTATTACTTTGCTTGCAGTGCATAATCAGATCTTTAACAGCTCACTGTAACACTCCTCAGATTCTAAAAGGTTATTCGGTGGTATTTAAACTAATGAAAAATGTGTATCTGAATGTTTCTCTAACAGCAATTATTTTATCAGTGTTCTAAAATACTTACAACTAAACTGCAATAAAAATGTGCTTAAACTTTCATGTTCAAAACCAGAGAAACTGTCTCAAAGTGGTAATATTAAAAATATTCAAGAGCTATTATAATAAATATGTATTTATTAAGCTCTATTAAGTAAAATAGACAAAAAAGAGAACCTCTACATGCCCATAACCTTGAACACTTATGACAAATCACAGTATGGGCTTCTCAAATACACGAAAAATCTATGTTAATATAGCAAGGTTCCAACAAAGCAACACTGATACAAAATTCTTCCTTCCAATTCAGTAAGCTAACATAATACAAGATCCTGCACTACTGGTAGCATAGTTTTCTGATATGATTAATATTCCCATTTAATAAAACTTCTGATTTTTTTCCCATGCAGTTTACCTGGTGTGAAACTGGTATGAACTTGGTATGCAGAACTAAACCATTTACCAGCTCTTTTCTCACCTTGCTCTCCAATTCTGGGCTCACTGTCCCCTTACAGATCAATAGATAAGGATAGATTCAGCAAATAATTAACTTTAATCCATTTTTATTCTACCTTTCCCCAGGCATGGGAAAAATACTTCCAAATTCATCTGAAAAAAAAATCCAGAATGTCCTATTCTGGGACTGCAAAACCAAAAGAATGGTACCTACTGTATCTAAATGTAATGTTTTTGACATCCCAGAATAGGCATTCTGAAATAAGCATCAAACTTTAAAAGTGCAGCACTGTGTACCATATATCAAGTTATTTTAATATTAGCCTGGTTTCTAAAAGAGGCTTTAAAACATGACATATGAAAGCTCCTTAAACTGTTCCAGGTAAATTTTTTACATTGTACAACAGTTACCACCATCCACCAGGGAAAACATACTTTAAGAACGTTTAAATTATAATAACCTATTCTAAAATAAATGTACACACACCACAGTGTGTACTCTAAACAAAAGTTAACCACACACCAGAACTGTCAAATTCAGCACAGCCTATTATATGTGAATGGCTCTGTAAACGGCAATAACTAAAAAATAAGTATTGGTAATAATTAGCTCTTAAAGCAGGTTAAGTCTGAAATTTATTTAGTAACTATAAGGCTTTTGGACTTGTTCCCATCTTCAACAACTATTTCCTTGATGGAAGCTTTGGAAAATTACTTTCCATTCAATTACACATCCCACCCAAGAAAAGCAAGCCATTAAAAGAAAAAAATAAGTTCCAGTTGCATAGCAATCACAATGAATATGCAATAATGGTCTCAATGACAAGGTGAATTACCTTAAGATGATACTTCAGAGATTAAATTATGAGTATTTTTCTAATAAACATAAATACCATTTAACCCCAAATTTGGCAAAATGCACAGTTTTTATTTATGTCATATCATTAATATTGTATACACAGGGGCAAATGTTCACTTGTTTATACATTTAAAATAATTTCCCCTACCAATTTAATATTTTAATTTCAGAAAGCTTTGTTTACCACTTGCAAATTGACTACAGAAAGCCAAAGCAAACCACAATTCATGAATTTTTTTAAATGTTTGGCTATTAAATCTCAAGCATACATAATAAATTAACCACTGTATTTTATTATTAGGTAAAAATTCTTTCCTTCTCCAAATTTCATTCTTAAACACACACACAGTGTACTATCTACCTACCAATTTCTAGGAAAGCCAAAGGTAGTAACACACAGGACAGAGATTAAAATAATAGGAAAAAACACGGAAGATACCAACCTTCTGCACAAGGTACAACTATCAGAGCTCTGTCAATAAAAACCGTGTTAGTTAGATGCTGGGCCACGCCAACACTTGATGGGTCACGAAACTTAACATAACATACTTTGGAAGAAAAAGCAAGAGGTGCGTTGCTGCAAGATAAAAAGAAAAACAATTGGACTAATAAACATTTGGTTGGTTTTGTCATTTTCATTTGAAATTTCTTTCTTAGATCTTTATATAATCTTACACAATCAAGACAAGAATTTTTATTGCTAAGGATCATTAGCATATAAAAAGATTTGCATTTTCAAGTTTTTATTTAAATTCCAATTGGTTAATATACAGTTACCATCAGTTTGTTCTCTATAGTTAAGAGTCTGTTTCTCGGTTTGCCTCCCTCTTTCTCCCCTTAGCTCATTTGTTGTTTCTTAAATTCCACATCTGAGTGAAATCATATGGTATTTGTCTTTCTCTGACTTATTTTGCATAGTATAATACTCTCTAACTCCATCCATACCATTGCAAATGGCAAGATTTCATTTTTTATGGCTGAGTAATATCCCATTGTATATACACACAGCTTCTTTATCCATTCACCAATCAATGGACACTTGGGCTGTTTCCACATTTTGGCTCTAAACTTCGGGGTGCATATATCCCTTTAAATTAGTATTTTTGTATTCTTTGAGTAAATACCTAGTAGTACAATTGCTGGGTGGAAGGACAGTTCTATTTTTAACTTCTTGGGAAACCTCCATACTGTTCTCCAGAGTAGCTGTACTAGGCAAAACTTAAGTCTTTTCATGGTGATTTGTCTGCAA